CTTCCAGCATTGTACTGCCTTTTGTTATTAAGGGAAACCATGATGTTCTGCTCAGAACTTTCTGGCTCATTATTGAAGGATCCATTTTTTCTAGTCCTCAACCTGGTAAGTCTTGTGTGAAGACTTCACAGAATAACTCATGTGAGACATGCTCTGTCCCTTAATCATCTTAGTGGCTCTTTGCTGGACTCCACCTAGTAGCTCTGTATCTCTGTTGTACAGGGGAGTCCAGAACTGGACACAGCATTCCAGGTGTGGCCTCACCAGAAGGTTCACCTCCCTTGACCTGCTGGCCACACTCCGCCTAATGCAGCCCAGGATACCATTAGCCTTCTTTTCGCAAAGGTGCATTGCTGGCTCATGTTCAACTTGGTGTCCACCGGGACCCCCAGGTTCTTTTCTGCAGAGCTGCTTTCCAGCTATGTGACCCCCAGCATGTACTGGGGCATGGGGATGTTCCCAGGCCCAAGACTTTGCACTTTTCCTTGTTGAACTGCATGAGGTGCCTTTCACTCCATTTCTCCAGCCTGTCAAGGTCCCATTGGATTGCAACACAACCCTCTGCTGTATCAGCCACTCCTTACAGTCTTCTGCAACTTGCTGAGGGTATGTTCCACCCTGTCATCCAGATCATTAAAGAAGATGATGAACAGGATAGGACCCAGTTTTGACCCCTGGGGTACACCACTAGTTACCTGCCTCCAGATAGACTTTGTGTCACTGATCAAAACCCTCTGAGCTTGGCTGTTCAGGCAGTTTTAAATCCACTTCACTGTCTGCTATTCCTGCCTGTCTTAGTGCTTTCTGCTAAATAAAAGGTGTCTCTAAGGAGAGCTTGTTGTCTTGCTCCACATCTAGCCCAGAGCAATCCAAAGCATATGTTGCCTCCTTTCTCTCAGCATCTGCCTGGCTGCAGGGCTGAACACCAGCAGAATGCTCTCAATGTCCTATCTTCGACTTTTCTGTCTGCCTGCAATTCCCCTTATACAGACCTGGAATTCCCCAGAGAGGACCGTGCATCCCACAGTTATGAAGTAGTCAGGATTGCCAAGGACAAAAGATGCTGAAAACACACCCACAAAAGCAATGCTACACACCATCAAGACAGTTACTTGTCACATGATAGCTACAATAGTACTTTTCGTCCCAGAGGTTCATGTTATCAGCACTACTTTTCTCTAAAAATGACAAAATAAACCTAAACTCTGCTTCTTCATTATCCTTCTTCATCTCAGTAACTGTGGTAATGCTTTTGCTGACATACAATAAATATTTCAGGTGTGGATGCAGTGCACTGGTAAAGGTTTAACTTAGTTCTCGGCTTCTGTGGGCAAGTACACAGCTGTGAGAGAATCCATTGTGCTTGGGAGGTTTTTTTTTTTAACTGTGTGAGGGAGCAAGATGACTGGAACTTTGGCAGGTAGGAGTTCTACAAACATACCCACTGCTAGGCAAGAAACTCATACGCTGCTGAGTACGCATAAAGTGCCTTTGCTTGTCAAAGCCAAACTTAGTCTTGTCCTGGATTTCTGCTGCCTTCAACAGTTAATCGGTTTGGACTGATGGTACCAGCACTGAGTATTCTTCATTGTCAGAATGTATTAAGATCCACACCTTCCCTGAAGATGATTTCTGACAAAAGCTGACCGTTTCCTGGGGAGTACTGAAACAAATAAATGGCTGCAAGTATGAAAAGAGTTAATCGCAGATAGCAAAAAATTCAACAAACCCTAGATGGACCCCAAGCATAGACAAAATAGACAGGATAATGAACAAGACATTGAAAAAAATATTAAAATTTAATTCCACCAAGCAAAATCTAGTGAAATGACTGCAAAATACTACAAACAACCCAAATTTTATTGCAAACCTTTTAATGCTATTGTAGATAAGAAAGACAAGCTTGCAGAGCAGGATCAGTTTAATCAGAAAATTGCTTACAAAGGTCCTGCTCTTGCTCCCACAGATATTAAGAGCATTTTACAGGTAGACTTCAAGCAAAACCAAATTTGAGCCTTTGAATTGCTATTGTATTTTTACAAAAGTACATATCTCAAAAAAGCAATAAAGGACAAAAAAAGGTACCTCCATTCTACGCCTTTTAGGTGTTTTCCTATGGAGGATGTCTCTCAGAGTTGCAGCAGTTTTCATTATGTACATTTGTAACCTTTTAAAACTAATTGTTCCCTGGAATTAATAACAACCAATATAAAGTAAAACAATATAGCCCAAGAAACAGTTTATTGTTTAGGCCTTGAAGAAAGCTAGAGTTACACAGTTAGAAATGCCATACAAAATTGTCACTCCTATTAAATTTAGGAAATGCAGCCCCCCTCAGTCATCGATTCTTGCTGTAAATGTACAAAAGAGGACAATATTACAATGGATTTTTTATGCTCCTTTGTTGCCTTTTTCAGAATAAAACCCGGGTAACATGCTATTAAAAATGAAGTAAGTACCTCTTCCTTATATAATTATTTAGTACCTATATTAAGTTTCTTATGTCTCAATATATTTTTGAATATTTACTTAAGGATATTGCTTTATCAGATATCCTGTTTAAATAATGTTAAATTACATTATTAGTGGAATTTCAGACTATGTCAGCTAAGTTAAAGTAATTTTTCGTGACATCTTTTTATTTTAGTATTTTTTGACATCAAAAAGTAGAAGCAATTTTGTCTTAACTGAGATAGGAGCACTAAATTTGTAAGATTAGAGAGACAAATACAAACTGCAGATAGATTCCCAGTCCTCGCATAGATGAGAAAAATGTTAAAAATTACTGGTAATATTTGAGCACACACACATACACATCTGCATGTAGCAAAACATGAGCCTATGACCTAAAACCCCCTAGCTTTTAAAAGACTTGTTTGTATCAATATAAAGAGGGAAATTCACCAAATGCTTTACTACAACATTAAAGCTTTTAAAATGTTACGTCTAATGCCAGGATTAACAGAGTCAATCACCTTTAGGTAGAGACAAAGTAACTAGACATACTGTAATTACAGAAAATGCATTTCTGTCACAACCACGACTATGTGGTGATGGTGACTTTCGATTATATCCCCTTAAATTTGCATATATTAAAAAATATGGCAAAAGTTATTTAGTCCCATCAATGTAGTCAGACTTGTAATTTTTAATTTTACACATATATTCTCAAAGAGATAATTTTATGCAGCCTGTAAGACAACTAAATATTAGTAGCTGCTTTACTGCCACTTTTCAGATTAAGTGAAAGTTTCTGGTCCTGATCACTTTCTAGCCTGTAAGAGACTGACCATGCTGGCCCTGCTCCAGTAAAGAAGCATAAGCACACGCTTAATAAAACCCCTGAATTCATTCCATTCCATCACATTTGGCAGATGGCACCTTCCACAACACATTTCTCCTTGTTCTCTGCTAGAACAGGGGAGTACACCACCTACTGAAAAACCACAGGTCTCCCACACAAATCCTGATACCAGAGGAACTACATACATATACTCACATGCTTTTCTAGATGAAACCACAGTGTACTTTGCAGGGTCATGCCCTTAGAAATAAAAACTTCCTCGTACCTTCCTGAAAAGTAAGCCCCTGAACTGCCTTCAGCACCTGATTCCTGCAATATTTTCTAATATCCTTTTTATAATTTAATAGATGCTCTTTCACTTTCATTTGAAAATACTGTGTAAAGCAGCAAGTACAGAATGATTGCTGAACTGGCTTCAGTTTGGTACTGTAACTCAGCAATCTATATATAGAATAACTATAAAGTGCTTTAGAACTGTTTCACATGAAAGGTGCACATAAATACTGTGTCCTCTTACATGATCTCCCTGGAGACATATAGTCCTGGTGAGCCCACACTTGAGAGTATCTTCAAATTGTTACAGCATATTAATAATTATACTGATTTCTTACACTGGAGAATGCTTCTTTCTCCAGTATTTACTGGGGTTAGTGTCTCACAGCATTGTAGCCAGCAGGCCTGCTGCTTGCCCTCCATTAGCTGTCTTCCTGGATCCAAACACACTCATCTGGATGGGTAAAAAAAGGCACAGTGCTACTCTGGGAATCTGCACAAAAATCGTCCCTTTAAAGTGCAGAATTTGGGGTTGTTAGTTGATTCCTTCTGATTGCCATTTGCTGAAAAGATGAACTGTCAGCACACTATGCAGTATCATTTCTTTTTGGTTAATAGGCTCAAAATTTCAGGCACTCAGTACAGCACATCCCCACAGTAGAATGCTGACAGGTCTATCAATTGTCAAATTTTTCCAGAATTTGGATTATACCATTGAAATAACTCAGATGAATGTCAATTCATGCTGCATGGTGCAGCGCTGCAGTGCTTATAATCTCCTGTTCCCAAAGGATCATAGAATCATAGAATTATAGAATCATAGAATTGCTTAGGTTGGAAAAGGCCTTTAAGATCATCAAGTCCAACTGTTAACCTAACCCTGCCATTCCATCACTAAACCATGTCCCTAAGCACCTCATCTAAAATCTTTAAAATACCTCCAGGGATGGGGACTGACTATAAATGGGAGGCATCTTTATTGCTTTTATGTATGAGGAATTGAAGCACCAATGAGTGAGCAAAGTGTGTCAACATACACAGTCAAACCCCCAAAATGGCTCTATGGATCATATTTTGTTGTAGCACACAGAAGTCCCCTAAGAATAAGCAGTATTTAGTATGACACAGAATAAGTAGTTATTATATACATTAGGGGTAAATCTGGTTCCCACCAAAATCAAGGCAAAACTCCCACTGAATGAAGTATGATCTGGATTTCACATTACATTTGGAACCAAACTCAAGTACTTTGTTACACATAGCAGAAGTATCAAATAGCCTCACAGCATGCTTGATGCAGTCTATTACAATTCTGCATGATAAAAACGCAGTATCAAACGTTTTGCGTTCTTCAACTTTTTCCTATTCACATTATTGTGCTTCACATGACTGCTGTTTTCCTTGCTGTTGTGATTACTACAGACTAAAAAGGGAAAAAGAAGTAACAAAGAAAACAGAACACAATAAATCCTATTACCCAGTTGACTGAATAAATGTAGATTATCACCATGTCCATATCAAACCGCCATCCACGGCTATCATCCTCAAAGTCCATGTAGTCCATCCTGTGAGCAGCATGTGGAAAATGCCTCCTTGTTACTGTATCTGAGCGTCTTTGAAAACCTGCTGAAAAACAGACTAGGAGATAAAAATCTTTATAAAAGCAACCAGCTTGAGTAAAAAAAACCCAAAACCCCAAAACCCTCCTTCCCCTAGTTATTTACAAGACAAATGGAAGCAGAAAACCTCACTTTTAGGTTTCCGCACTTTCCTCACTTCATAGGACAAGAAGCTCTCTGTGGACTTGTTTTTGAAAGACTTAAAAAGTAACTCTGTCTTCCATGTCTGGAAAATAGGATGTTTGTTTGTTTGGATTTGGCACTGTCTACTATAGTAAAGTAATGCTATCTGATTATGTTATCCAGACCTGTGAGCACCTCTCTTTTGGTGCCTTCTTCCACTGAATTTGATTCAGTAATCTAGAAGTGAAGGCTCCATATATTGTAATTAATCTCCTGAGCAATTAATCTCTGGATTCCCTAAGTCTAGTCATCTGAATTCTTCAGTAATCGAGACACACCCATATGCGTACAAACATAGTTCAACAGCGCAAATACATTTGAATTCAAAAACCTCTTCTAAATAAATCCTGCTTGCTTTAGTATTATGAATGTATATGATACATACCAGGTTAAAATTAGATTTTTAAATTAATGTTTGTATGCTGATAATACCTTAAAAATATATAGGCAGATGCAAACACAGCCTTTCAAGTGGAAGTAAAAATCCTGTGACTCCAAGAACGGCCTGAGTGCGTGGTCCTGCCAAAAGGTCCTTCCTCTTCATTCCTCCCCTGACTTCTCTAAGTAGTAAGAGAAGTACTACAGGAGCATAGTTCTTGCATTTGTCAGGATACAAAGTTAGAGAAGTGTCTGTGCAGCTGTGTGTGGCACGGGAAAGAGGCTGAGAGCTCCGCTGCAAAGGCAGAAGATCTGCCCCACTCTGATGAAGGAGAAGGAGGGAATGCAGTTGTACTGGTCTGGATTTTTGCTCTGTTTTCAGGTAAGTCTGAATCTTTATGATGCATTCTTTGATTTTGGAAATTAGGTCTTTGCTGAGCTGCCCAGACTCTTCTCCTCTGCACTGACATCATGGCTTTTGGAGTCTCAAGGTGGGTAGGAATTGTCCCCTTCAGTGTGCACCATTGCACACCCGTGTGCCTCAGTGTGCATTCCTCAGGTTTAGTCTATTACTCTGCTGCCTTCTGGTCTGGCTTGATTAAGCCTCCTAGAAGTTCCTCAGCCTCCTGTTTTTGACTAATATGAATAATTGTGTATAACTGGTGTTCACATGCCAGTAATTTTCAATTTAACATTCTCAGACCTTATTCAAGATAATTGAGCCCTCAGCACAAGAAGGACATGGAACTGTTGGAGCGGGTCCAGAGGAGGGCTACAAAAATGATCCGAGGGCTGGAGCACCTCTCCTGTGAGGACAGGCTGGGAGAGTTGGGGTTGTTCAGCCTGGAGAAGAGAAGGCTGCAGGGAGACCTGATTACGGCCTTTCAGTACCTAAAGGGGGCCTATAGGAGAGATGGGGACAATCTTTTTAGTAGGGCCAGCTGTGACAGGACAAGGGGTAATGGTTTTGAACTAAAACAGGGTAGGTTTAGACTGGATATAAGGAAGAAATTCTTTACAAAGAGGGTGGTGAAACACTGGAACGGGTTGCCCAGAGAAGTAGTGGAGGCCCCATCCCTGGAAACATTCAAGGCCAGGTTGGACGGGGC